CGAAACTGACCTTACCATTAAGGGTTTTCAGGTAGTCATGTCTTGGAAGCCAATGCTTCCGAGGCCTGTATGGGTAGAACGAATGATTGCCAAAACACCTAAAGTGTGTGCCCGTAGTCTTAGGAATAAAACGTCCGAGCTGAGTCTGATGATGGATGATAAGTGTTGTTACAGAAACTTGGCTCACAGTAGATATAGAATGTTCTCCCATCATCGCAGGCTATATCTGTATTAGGAGTGATAGAGTATTGAGTCGCAAGGGGGAGGCATAATATTATACGTTAGGGATCACTTTCGTATACAATCAACCATATCGGAGGCTCATATCAGTGGCACATGTGAGGTTGCATGTTGTAAGATTAAATCTAGAAATGGGTTAGTGACTATAGGGGGAATATACCGTAGTCCGTCTTGTCTTGCTGACGACTTTATCCTAAGACACATCTGTTCTTGGAGTATGGCAGAATGTTGTCTCATCATTGGGGACTTCAACGCACCGCATATCAACTGGATAGAGCTTACAGCTCCAGGTAGTGGTTTCGATAGCGACCTTTTATCTACCGTTATTCAGTGTGCACTTGTACAATGTATCACAAAACCGACACATGTTGATTTGAATCATGATCCGTCACTGCTGGACCTCGCCCTCACCCACCACTCTGAGGATGTCTTTGATATCCAGCACCTTCCTCCACTAGTGAACAGTGATCACGTTGTAATTCACTTTAAGTTTAGGACACATGGTATACAATTCGTATCTGCTCCACCCCGTCCCAATATCTGGCGAGCTAATATTCCGGAAATCAGAAACTGTGCTATCTCGACTGATTGGTCGGTCGACGCGGATGGATTGATCGAAGATGAATGGAATAAGTTTAAGGCTACATTCGAGTCCGTAACGTCGCCGTTTATCCCATGGTCAGCACGTAAGCTATCACATTGCCCTCCATGGATTAATAAGGAAACCCGGAAGCTGTTAAAGCGTAGGAAACATTTCTGGGACTTATTCTTGTTGACAGGTCATGCACCATTTAAGCGTGAGTATCAAAAATACCGTAATATCTGTAAGAAAACCATAGCGAAATCCCGTACCACTTACGAACGACAGTTAGTATATGATAGCCGTACTTGTCCGAAACGATTGTTTTCGTATGTTAAACGGCAAATGAAACGTAGTGATGGTATTCCCCCGTTGCTGTTACACGAAAATTCAGAATTACTAGCTGAATCAGATCGAGCAAAAGCTGAGACTTTTTCAGATTATTTTAGCGAAGTCTTCTCTACGTTTATTGTAACAAATACTTGTCCCACTCACACCGAGATACCAACCATTGAATCTGTACAGGTGACTGAGGAAACTGTCCTTCCGTTGATAACTAACCTCAAACCTGGTAAGATACCGGGCCCTGACGGGTTACATCCACGGTTGCTGTCATCTCTTGCGGACATTATTTCAAAACCGCTTGCGACACTCTTCAACATGTCCCTCTCACTCGCCCAACTCCCTAGAGATTGGAAGGACGCTATAGTTAGTCCTATATTTAAGGACGGTCAGCGACAGATAGTATCTAACTACCGGCCTGTCAGTCTAACTAGCATAGTCGTTAAGTTACTCGAAAAGATAATTCGGGTTAGGTTGCTAAGCCACATAGATTTACACAATCTGTTAGCTCCTGAGCAACACGGATTTCGTAACAAGCGTTCATGCTTGACTAACTTGCTTATTGCGAGGGAGGATTGGACAGCAGCCCTAGATCACGGTCTGTCTGTCGACGTGATATTCATAGATTTTAGCAAAGCGTTTGACAAGGTTTCACACGTAGGTCTTATGCAGAAGCTCACGAGCTTCGGAATAATAGGTACTGTACATGAGTGGATAGGAAATTTCTTATGTGACCGCAGACAGAGAGTTAGGGTCAATGGAACGCTATCCGATTGGAAGCCGGTCAAAAGTGGTGTACCCCAAGGCACCATCTTAGGCCCCTGCTCTTCCTTCTCTACGTCAATGGGTTACCGCTGTTACTTAGTATTAAGTCATGACTTGAAAACAACTACGCATTGCGACGCAGCCGCTGTCAAAGGTTTTCGTGCGTTATGGTCACTTCGTCGAGCGTTCAAATCTTTTGACGAGGAAATGTTTCGAATTTTATACCCATTTACCTATGTAAGAGCACATTTAGAGTACTGTATCCAAGCAGCCAGCCCAAATCCGATACGGGATACTAACTCATTTGAGCGTGTGGGATCAGAATTCGTGAAATGTTTTTCTCAGCTCCCTTACGATGAGCGCTGAAAACGCCTAAATATTTTCCCCTTGTCGTATCGTAGGACACGAGGTGACCTTATACTGGCATTTCATAACTTTAATTATGATTTGGGTGTTAATATGTCTTATCGTTTTGCTCCCTCCAGCACTAATAATCTCCGAGGTCATAGCAAGAACGTTCATAAACCACGATCTAATAAACTTAAAATGGGGTCCCGTTTTTCTCATCGGGTAGTCAATGATTGGAACGCCTTACCCGAGCAAGTGGTATCAGCCTCATCAGTGAATATTTTCAAGGAGAAACTGGATCTTCACTGGAAAGCAATGTGTCAGGATTAACACAGGTTCACCAACCTACTACACTTTTACTGAAAACTGAATGCAGCTTTTAAGTTTCTCAACTCTTATAACTGTCCCAACGTAGTTAACCAACTCGATGTGGACGGTCATTGGGACTTCTAACTGCACATGCTCTTACGTGCTGCAAACCATTCAGTTCCTCAAACGGCTCACAAAAGCTGCAAGCCACCTAAAATAATCAAGATCCGTACCCTTAGCCTGCTAAGCCGCAAAAGGCACTGTTGGGCGGAATACAAACGAACTGACAACGACGGAGAGTACAGACAATATAAACATATAGGGAACATACGCATGAAGGCTATAAGAGAAGACAGGCTTCAGTACCAGACAAAGCTTATGGACAAATTTGCCTCTAACCCTAGAGGCCCATTCCGTTATGCAGCCTCTCTTCGTCAAGCCAAAAGAGGAGTTTCTCAACTGCTAGGTCTTAACGGCCCGACCAACAACGATGGCGACGCCGCTAACCTTCTGGCGGCACATTACTCTCAAACATTTCAACCGGCTGATATCAACTTTATTGACGACAGTTTCATCTGCAATTCCACAGGACTTTCTGAAGTGGACCTAAGCGCTGACTTGGTGTTCCGGAAATTGCAGCACTTAAGACTAGACACTTCTCCTGGCCCGGATATGGTTCATCCTGCCATACTGAGGGAGGCAGCCTCAATCCTGGCAACGCCGCTTAGCGTGATGTTTTCACACTCGCTTAGCCGAGGCAAATTACCGGAAAATTGGAAGTTGGCTCACATCACACCAATTTTCAAAGGTGGTCGACGCAATGAACCTTCAAGTTATCGGCCGGTGGCTCTTCTGTCATTACCTTCAAAACTCATGGAGTCCCTGATATGCGACGGTTTAAATGACTATCTACTGTCCTTAAATTTCTTCTCACCCCAACAGCATGGTTTCAGGAAGGGTTACTCTTGTATAACCAACCTGCTGACTGCGGTGGACAGATGGACAAGCATCCTCGATTGCAAGGGAAAGGTTGATGTCATTTACCTTGATTTCTCAAAAGCTTTTGATAAGGTTAACCACATGTGTCTTATCAACAAGCTCAAACGACTAGGTATCAAACCACCTCTAATCGATTGGCTTACTTCATACCTAAAAAATCGACACTTTAAGGTTAGGGTTAATTTCACTTTATCTCAGGCTATGGAATGTCCTAGTGGGGTCCCCCAGGGCTCAGTACTAGGGCCTCTTCTCTTCTTGATCTACATAAATGATCTTCCTCAACAGGTAACGTCAGACTTATTACTTTTTGCCGACGACGTGAAACTTTGGAGAGAGATACGCAACCAAGACGATACACAGGCACTTCAGGAGGATCTGACTCGACTTCAAAGTTGGGCAGACGATAACGGACTTACCTTTAACACTTCAAAGTGTAAAGTAGTCCATCTGCGACATGTCGCAAACTACAGTTACAACTTAGGAAACTCCTCTCTAGTAGTATCCCAAGTCGAAAAAGATTTAGGAGTCCTGGTGCCCCATGATTTAAAGTCTTACGCTAACTGTGACAAAAATGCCTTCCGAGCAAACCTTGCACTGGTAACGTTGAGCGCATTTTTGGACAGTTTGACGGAAGAACTTTCCACACAATCTTCAATAGTTTCATCCGTCCCCATTTAGAGTACGGAAACATAGTACTCCCCCTCACTCCAAAAGGACAAGGTCACTTTGGAGCGTATCCAACGGCGAGCCACGAAATCAGTTCGAGGACTCAAATCTAAGCCTTACGAAGAACGCCTCCGTTCACTAGACCTTTACCCATAGAATATAGGCGTCTTAGAGGTGATTTATTAATGGCTTATAGTATTCTTAACACTTCTGGACATCCTCTTAAACACCTACTTAAGCTTAGTTCGAATAATAACCTAAGGGGTAACACCCAGAAACTGGAAACACAACATAGCAAGACGGAATGTAGACACAACTTCTACTCCTTAAGAGTTGTCAAAAGCTGGAATTCGCTGCCGGCCGAGCTAGTCCAAGCGACTTCTCAGGAGTCCTTTAAGAGGCAACTTGACCTATTCTTAAGGACCAAGGACAGTTTCGCACTATGATTTACCAATTTCCTTTCCTCTTTTATTGTTAACATACCTAGGTTCCTGCCTGGAGGATTTGGTGATCCCCTGCTACTAGACACGGAAGCCTGTTAAGCGAAAGCTTCTTCTATTCCGTCCACAACCATTTGAACCATTTGAAACGCAATACGTTTTTTAATTGAAGGACTTCGTCAACTTTTGGCGACACTGATCTTCCCTGAAAAGACCATTCCGTGACAAGGAATCTATTGAAATAGTCCGTGTGGAATTGTATATTGAATGGCGATCAATAAGCCGATTTTTCAAATACGGCGTAACTGGAGATGAAGGTTGTATCGTGTTCTTACTACAAAACGGTCTGCTTTTATTTTCTGCCAGTCTATCCCCAAAACTAGTCATCCTTCCAATTTTGAAAACTGCTTTCGTAATTCGATTTTGGTTTGTTTTTGTTCTCTGAATACTCATTTTATACGGTCACTATTATAAGACTTCTGATTTTGTATTCGTTGCTTTTTAAATTCACTTGTTCTAAATCAAATTTTGACATTGAAGCGCACACTGTAGTTTGACAGGGCTTTCTATTAGCCCATTAAGGAGTTTTCCGAACAACAACTTGCGTCTGGATGCAGATTTGTGAATGGTATAAATATACTAAATTAATTACTTTAAATGAAATAATAGCTAACAAGAAATTAATTTTAAAGCAAAGGGTACCAGTGAAAATTTATAGGATCTCTTTGAGTGGTTGTTTCGGAGCAATTCATTACTATTCAGCCTTAAGTAATAATTGTGATAGGTTGATCAATCTGCGTTAATTCTTGCAAATTGTTCTTCAATAAAGTCCAGCTTCTTCTTGATAATGTTAAATAGTGTCGTTGATACCAGTTGTTTGGGTAGGGCGTCCTAGTCATTGACTACTCAATGAGAAATACGGGACCCCACACCGGGTTTATCAGTTCGCAGTTTTGAACCTTGTTTCTCTGGCTTCGAAGGTTATCGGTGCTAGGGGCAGCAAAAATATAAGATACATATCAGCTTTCAAATGTTGGACGATTCATGAAGGTGAAATAAAAAGGATATATATACATATTGAAGATCAAGCTTGTGCTGTGAAGTTGGGTTTTATCCCTGTTTTTTTGTTAACAATTGACATGTTACTATTCAACAAAACTTTGACACTTGTTTATAAACTTTGAGAGGTTAAATATGTAATTTATGGTCACGACAGAGTGGGAAAATATTATCGTACTGCACAATCGCCTCAGACTGGATTTAATAATGAGACAATAATTTACGGACTACCTTTGAGTGACGCTAAAGTGACTGAAAAAATTTACTCTAACGGGTGTCAGGAGAGGGTTATAAATTAGCACAAGGAACCAGGATTGTCACTGAGATCTGGAATTTAGGGTTTTCATCGCAAACTGACGTAAGCTATAATGCCAGAATGCTATTTGATCATATATAAATTAGTGAATTTCGCTACGAAATCCCAAACTTGCTGTCTTTAATCTTATTGGTTCATCCATAAATTATAGTCTCGTCCATTCAATCCTATCAAATACTTTAACACAATCTGTATCATGAGCAGGAATTTCTTGTTGTTTTGGCTTAAGCACAATGTCATACTTACCATTTAGTTAAATAGTAGATTTTTAAAAATCAATTTCATGTAAAATTCAAACACTGGCATCTATTCACTTATTTCATAATTACACATAAGCCATCTTTCATTGCGCTTCCAATTTCATACGACATCCTATGGAATGTTATCTTCTAATGTTCCTACTCTAGCCCAGTGGTATAATGCACTTTATTACGTTAAGAAAATTTTTAAGCAAAAATTACGAAGATCATATACGTTGCCTACAAAAGTCGACATTTTTTAATGTGCCCGTTAACTTTGTTACTCAAGACAGACTTTCTCTGAATAATTAGAATTTCCAAAAGCTCTAATTTTAAGTTTTCACTGACTCTAGTGTCATATGATGCACGTTCTACTATGCGTTAAATTAAGTTTTATTATGACAGGACTTGAAAAAAGTGTTTCGGTCACCATATGTCAGTCGGGTCTTTGTAATGGCTCTATCTGACCACAACGACAACGAAGTTGCTACCGTATGAAGGCAATCGCTTATCAAAACCTTGATGCTCCTTCAGTGAAATAATCTAATTTTCGATCAGTTTGCTGAGTAATCACAAGGTGAAGTTCAGTTTTTCCTATGCAGTAAATTAAAAGCCTTATCACTAGTATTAACTGAAATGGGCAACAAGCAAAATAACTTGTGAAGTGGTGGGGAATATTTGTAACTCAGGTGGGTGAATTTGGTGGTTTTGTTCTCTGAGCTGGATGGCTTGGTCTTGGAGCTTTCATCGTTTCTCTGAACAACATCATCAGCACGAACTTCAGGTAGACGTTTGTGCTGATGATGTTATTCAGAAAAACAATAAAATCTCCACAACCAAACCATCCAGATCAGAGAACAAAACTCCACCAAGAAAATAACCTGTAGAAGTTATATTTAGTCATGGTATAGAAACTTAGTTTAAAAAAATTTTGTTGGGCTAATTATGTTCTTTCTAATACCTACGCATTTTTTAGGATGCCAAGCCTTATCCAGTTGATCCATCTTATTCTGACCCACCAGTTGTTGAAACAGACTATTCAACATGGGGAATAGTCAAAGCTGTTCAGTATGGAATTACAAAACGAGTCATTGAGTTGGTGGAACCATCAGATCCGCAACTAGCGGTTATGATGTCAACCAACTGGATGATGAGGATGTCTCGCTGCTACACTGGGCCGCCATAAACAACCGTTTAGCCATTGCTCGTTATCTTCTATCGAAAGGTGCAATAATAGATAGACCAGGTGGTCATCTTGCTGCAACCCCACTTCACTGGCTATTAGGCAATCACACTTAACTATGGTACACTTCCTTATGCAAAGGGGCGCTGATCCAACGTTTATGGATAATACTGGCCTAGGATGTTTTCATGTTGCAATACAAATGGGAAATGTCCCAATTATCGTTTATTTGCTTTCTCATGGGGTCAATGTTGATACGTAAGTACATAAGCACGCATATTCGTGATTACCAGATTATATTTTTTTGTAATATACAATTACCGCAGACTCGTACCAGTTATTTCAGCATAATATTATTAACCTCGTCGTTTACGTATTTGGTATGGGGACTTCAGCTAACGCACGTTTGTGTAAGGCTTTAGGCTGGCGGGTTTGTTTCATTTCCGGCTTTTAAATACAAAGTTTTATGTGTGTCTAATGATTAATATATATTTGATTAATTTCTATGATAATTTTATTTGTGTCTCAATTGATACAAATAAACTCGCATGTCCGTATTTCAGCAATTTGACTATCAGTCGTTGATCCAGCATTTTCTAGATTTTAAATGTATATGGTATCTTCATGACACTATACATATGGCTTAAAACCTAGTAATTGTATAGGCTTTGTGTATGGTTGCCAGAAGTTACATGGAAATTACTAGGGTTGTCGGTTTGCATAATAACAATCTTAATAAAGGTAACCTTCTGTGTGAGGGATGAAATTTGGTTATCAGGGTCACTATAACTGTGACTATCTTATCTGTAGTTTAATAATTGAAATTCATACCCTTAACTAGAACATCAAACCCACGATCTGGGTTGAATAGACATCATTATAATGTTCATAATACTTTCTTTGGAATTCTATGGCTTCTCCATTATATCATTGTAACAGTAGCCATAACTCTACTAAAACAATAAACTCAGGGTCTTCTAAAGGATTTCAGTTAGTGACTGAAAATATTGGGTATATCTGATCAAAAATGGTATAACTAACTATTTAGTGTTCAGTCACTTAAAATGTCCTGTTTTTTGAGGTTTTTATTTCAATCATCTGCAATTTTCTTGACTGTGGTAATAACTATGACTTTCCTTTTCAACATTTTAGTCGAGATGGCAATGGGCTCACTCCATTAATGATAGCTTGTATGCATGTACGATCAGTTGATATTTTTCGTTTGTTAATCTCATATGGTGCAAATTTGCGATTAACTGATTCACATGGCAACACTGCAGCACATTATTCTGTTCAGTTCGCTAATTTCCAAGCCGTCGTACAATTAGATAAGGGTGATATTGACTGGAATGCATTGAATGATGAAAACAAAACACCGTATGAGGTAACTTTCTTTTCATTAGTATATAAAAATTGCTTTTAATCCTCCAATTTCAATAATCGGTGTTGGACTTGATGAAAAAGCGTGGAAGCTTGAAACAATAACTTTGTAGCCATGGTTTTACAGTTCTGTCTAGAAAGAGCAGCATAAACCAAATGTTAGAATTTTATGCATTCAACATCTTTAATTAACCTTCGTTGTTAAGTAGCATAATGTGCATCAAGCTCAGTTCATAAAGTTATCCTGTCTACACAAAATTAAATGCTTCAATTTGAATTCGAAGCAACAAACCTTTGACCTGTTAGTTGAATAGTTGGTCAACCTAGATTAGTAAAGCTTGACTACTTTAACCATAAAGCAGTTTCATTCGATTTAGCTGATAATTATACTTAGGTGTCTTAGAAATGACTGGGGATTTTTACATTGTACCGACTTCCACACTTAACGTTCCAATTCAAATGCTCTGAAGGCTAACAGAGAATCCAGAATGTTTCTGTTCAGTAGAGTCTGTCACTTTTAAAAATTGGAGAGATGGAATGGATGTATGCGAATAAACTGATGTAGAACTTTCCACTTTGAAATATTTCGTAGATCATATTGTTAAAATTTAAAATAGGGTCAGTCTTTCTAATCAAACAGTGGTCATTTAATTAGACTACTGAGTTACAATAACCAACTTTTGTTCAGACAGTAGTTTTGTTATTGTTAAAGTTTGAAATTCTTAACTGATTTCATCTTAATAGACTAAGTGGTTTAGTGTAAAAGTTCCCATACTTTTCAGTGTTACGCTTGTTATGACTATTAAACGAATCAATATCCAGAGTTGCTTAAGTAATAACATAGATTATCTTAAGTTTTGGTGTGACGTATTGAGTTCTCTAGTACATGTCACTTTTTACTAATCAGTCTCACAATTAACTCACAGAAGACTGCATTATGAGTACGAATAAGCATATAAAATGAGAAAAATAGGTGTATCTAGCTTGCTAAGTTTATGCGATTCATGTACTCAGATTTTCGACCGTTCATTGTGTGCTAACGCTGGCGATACAATCCAACTTCTGAGGCAGAGTCTAAAGCTTCGACCAAGTGACAGATTAAAATCGAATGTGTTAGGTACTAATCTGCCGCTTAACACACTTTGTTAATAAGGGATAATACAGTAAGCAGAAATCTGTCCGAGGATTCCTACCGGTATCTGCAATGATCTATTTAATCTAAACACATCATTAGTGTTTAATACCAAATGGATGTTATAACTTTCAAGTTATTTTATGGGGAAACTCAACATTGTGTTAATTGTCCTAGTATTATGAAATTTGTGTAACTTATGTTCATTTCTATTTGCAAGTATGGTGAACTTGTTACTGTTTTATACTATCAACTTTCATACCTCTGTCTATAAATATTTTCAAGGTTCGTGTAGTTCCATGGTTAACAGATCGTGTCAAACAAATGGCGAATGTACAGAGTATAATGAATTCGTCGCACCGTTTCTCGCGTTTAGGCTTATCAATGCTACATTATTCACCTGTATGGCGTCAACGAATAACAATTATGCTTCCACCATTAATTCTTATTACTTGCGGTCTACTTATAAATTGGGATATACCATCTACATTATATCATTTAAATTTTGCCGATCAATCGTCAAAGATTTCATCATGGATAATATATTCCACGAAATTTCTTTTGTTATTGTTATTATCATTTACAGCACGTTTTATTATTGATCGATTCTCAGATCATAAGTCACAGGTGAGTTATGAAGATGAGATCAGGGGATGAGGATAACGTGGACATTTTGATTCATTATTACACCTTTCAATAGTCCTGTATATTTATGGGTGTTTTTATATTATCCCTATAAAATATTTCCACATGGATTGGTGGTGGTGCTGGGTCTGATGGTTTGTGCTGGCTCGGGCTCGTTAACAAAGCTTATCTGCAGTACTAAGAGAATTACGTCTCCCACGCCACATGAGATTTCTACCTACATTATTCAGCTTCAGGCTGTAATTTAGAGTGAGACAGTCAGACACTAATGGTTAACTTTAGTACATAGGTTTGTGCACGTATTAATTTGTGTTATTATTACACCTGTTATATGAAAGGTTATTCGTGAATACACTGTAGCTTACATCAGTGTTGAGTCAGTCAGTCAGTCAGCTACAACGTAGGACCAGGTACATGTATGCATCGGTCTAAGTTGCCATACCTCATTAGCACAGCAAAATGAACACCGGATTCATAGAAGTAGTTAATTCAATGATGGTAATATATAAAAGAAAGATTGCATATAAGGATATAGTACAGGAGGAAAGAATTAGTACGCAGAAAGATATGAAGCGGTTTTAGTCTCATAGTTTAAAGGAAGACATAGTGTATACACCGACGCCATTGTGATTGATTCTGAGCCATGTCACCAAGAGTTTCCAACCACTGATTACGATGAGTAAGGTATATATATATATATATATGTATATATATATATATATATATATATATATATATATATATTGCCGAACGAATCGTTGAATTCAGTCTCTGAGACTTTACAAATACATTCTTTCACCTTGGCGATTAAGTCATAATGTGAAAATATTTTTTTGGTGTAAACTTAATACACGCAATGCTTAGAAAATGAAGTTTATGTGATGTGATACTAGATTAGGTCCGGTGAAATCTTTTCCTATATTCAGTGTATTAAACTTTATAAGGTGTGTTGTTTTGATTACTGAACTTACTTCTTGATAAACACACCATAAGAGTTAAATTTTGAATTAACAACAGAGGTAGCTAGAGATGAACGAAAAGATTTTGACTGTCTAATCTCCAAAGCTATCCATCACCATCATTGGTACCACCCGATCATGAAAAAACGGTAATATGCTGGCTAAGGCACCTGTTTTTCATTCATCGTTATTTTCAAGTTCTAATCGCCCCTACTTTGTTTTAAGAAACATAATCGTATAATCAACCATCACACCGAATATGTTTGACTTGAGCCGAGTGTATGAACGTACACTTGGCAGATCGATTACATTATGATTTATGTCCTAGGTACTTTATTCTATTTATTTATTTATTTTAACACATAGATATTGGTACAAGGAGGCATCAAATACATATGCACCACACAAATCTCATTTGATATGTGCGAGGGCTGTGATACTGCTCGGGTGCCCAAACCGAAGCAGGTGGTTTTGAAGTGGCCCGTTTTATCTGACTCCAAGATTGTATAAATGTTTGCTGTCACCTATTCTCGTATATAATCGTCGACTTAATCGCGTTATCCAATAACGGAATTAAATAAGTCGAATAACGAGAATTGATTTGTGAATACATATATTTGTATATGAAGTGAATGAAACAGAGCCAAGCAAAACGACGCACAGGGAAGATGGCTGGGAAGCCAACTCCCTGCGTGTCATTTTGCTTTGCTATGTTTCATTCGCTTCATATACAAAATATATGTATTTTCAAGTCAATTCTCGTTATTCGACTTATTTAATTCCGTTATTGGATAACGCGATCTAAGTCGACGATGATATACGAGAATAGGTAATAGCAAACATTCGTACATTCTAAATTGGAGTCAGATTAACGGGCCACTTCAGTTTTCTTAGGAAACCACACCCGGAGCCTTCGACCTGAAGGTCTGAACCACAAGGCAGTGGAGCATCGTGGGGAGATGCAGTCCCATGGTATCCGGTGGCCAGTAATTGGTTCATACGCCATTTGTTCCTTCAGGATCTTGGAGACCATGTGGAACATTGGTTTGAAATCTGGGTTTTCCAACTCCTCTAGGTGGACTCTCCGTGTCCACCAACCCGGTTAAAGCGCCGGACATTCGCTTTACGTCATATCAATTTCTTAAACAACAGTAATGCCGCGAGAAGGCAGTGAGTAGGACTTCCCTGTCAGAGGCTATATACGCGTGGCCATGTGAGAGCATTTGGAGAGGGAGAGTTGACTCTCCCCACTCTCGGCATTTGGGGGCTTGACTTTCATTCAATAGTTTATAGGTTCGCCTATCGCTTTATCTACTCTACTATGACCAACTGGATCGTATCACTAGCTCTAGCACACAAAACAATGTCACACAAGGTTGAGTTTACGAGTTTTGACTACGTAAATGATTCAAATTCATTTTGTCAATGTTTTCTTGAATGTCTAAAATTAATTCTTTGTTACATATGTATTAACTGTTTCTGTATAATAAGGGATATGTATATATATTTCATAGTATGTGTTTATTTTCATTTCCTTTTTATTGAATAAGGCTGTAATGTTGTTCAGTTTAGCAACAAGTACAAAATTGTTATTAACTACAACATATTTATTTCACATCACATTACGTACACCGAATCATTGGGTGTTGCATTTCTGGTTTCTATTCTTTATTACTATGTTATGGACAACATTTATTCTATGCTGTACAAAAAATCCTGGCTACGTAGATGAAATTATTAAAAAAGAATGTCAACAAGATACTATTGCTCAATTACTTGATGAAGTGTTGAATAATACAAATGATTTAACATTAGCAAATAACAATCAAGAAGAATCTTCGTCATCAACATTATCAATCAATCCATTACAACGTTTCTGTACAACTTGTTTTATACGTAAACCGTTAAGATCAAAGCATTGTTCAACATGTGATCGATGTGTAGCACGATTCGACCATCATTGTCCATGGATATATAATTGTGTTGGAATGAAGAATCATTTTTATTTTATTATATATTTATTATCGACCAGTGTTTCATGCAACCTATTTATGTTGGGTACTATTGTTTATTGGCAAAATGAATTCAGTTGTCTACCGAATACACCACTAACATCCGGGAAAACTGGTATGTTTATTCATAAAATTTTTATGTGTACATATGCCTAACATCGATTCATGATGTCCTCCGAAATAAGAAAGCTAGGGCCTGTCGAACCATTCATGACATTAATCTGTGAAGTCATTTACTAATAGTCTGAGCCTTGTGGATAGGTACAAACTAGCTGATTGAAGTTCATGCGATCATCATGTTCAGTTATTAGAGGTGTACCAAAGAAGTACATAAACTTTGTACAGGCTCTCTACTCAAACAACACTGGGCATATCAGTGCTTACGGCGAACTGTAATCGGAATTGATAAGTGGTGTTCTTCGACTGTCGGCTTTTTTCATTTTTATGTAAATTTGTTTTATACATTCTTTCATTGGTAATTGTCTTACCGTCTGACTTTCCAGAGGTTGATCTTTTATCAGGAGATTCACTTACTGAATTAGAATATGCAGAGGACATAGTTTTGTTTGATAGAGATGTTGGTAAAAATACACAGTCTTTTGAAAAACTTTAGCAACAATGTGAACATGTTTGCGATGAGTTTCACTCCCTCCGAATGCAAAATGTTGCTTCAGCACTGATATGCATCACTACCAGGATTAATGATAGAAATTACAGTAGTCGTGCGTATCGATCACCCCTAGCATTCGATCATAGGTGTCTTCGAAGCGTTTCTCGTATATTTTGGGATCATCAAGTTAGCAGTTCTGAAGTTAACTGCACAGTAATAGGTAAGCATAAAAATCGCTAGACGATTTAGTGGTTCAGAATCGTTCCCAATGGTGCAGGTGCATTTTCTCTCTTTATCTTCTCTTAGATCTTGAATTTCATATTTATTTTAGAATTCCTATTTCTCAAGTTTATTCTCTCTTCTCTAATCATATTTTTGATGTTCAATCTTCTTTACCATCACTGATACTACTACTTATACTATTTTGGCTTGTTTTTAAACCGCATATTCATTGCTGGTTGAATTTCAAGCGTTTAGTTAGTTTACTTCAATACTAGAGCTCAGTTTATAAATGGGAGACCCAACACTATTTCTGTTGTTTGTTTAGAAATTCCCTCCATTATTAATAATGTTGCCGTATATTGGATCTTTTGTGTGTGTGTGTGTATGGTTGTCACTGAATATAGTAATTTTACCTTAAATAAAAACGGTTAACCATAAGTATTTTATATTTAATCTATGTAATTACTAATACTTTACCATAACTGAGTTCATCATATGGCTATGATTCTTGTTACGTTTAGTAATACAAAATGTATAAAAGACATTGGGTGAAATACTGAGATTCATTTTGACTCAAATACAAACTGACAAGGATATCACACTACAACACAATACAACAGAATGTAATGTATGCAAAATAAGGTTAAATTTACGAAATTAATCACTTTATATTAGTGTGTTAGTCTATAATGAACAGAATGCAATCCAACTAATGATGATCAACTTAAAACATTACGCAATATGTTCAATGTAAACTTTTTTAAAGATTGTAGTATTAAGTTGCATTCGATTTAAAGTTTCTCAAGTTATCTTACTTTTGACAGTTTTTACGTGTATGTCTAAATGGTGATATGCAACTACGTGGTCCGTTGTTTGGCCACCTCAGATATAGTTTCTAAACATAGTGAGTACTAACCCTCTGTGGGTTTTTTTCAATGTTTGTGCTATGGCGCGTACATCTCCGAATATATTACAAAAAATTTGAAACTAAACTTGCAGAAGGTTTTCCACAATGCAGTTCCTCGTTATTTGCTCGAATGTGGATTTGATGTTGTTGTTTCGAAGTCTTTTAAAATAATCGGTAAATAGAGAAATTCAAATTTATTGTGTTTTGCTAAAACTTGCAGTAAAAAGATTTAGTGTGGCGTATATGTATCTGGTGGCCCCTTGTACCAATATTTGTGTTTAAATAAATAAATAATATATATACAAGTTATCAATCTTCTTCCCTGATGACCCCGTTTTCATGAGACTATTACGTAAGATTTCTAATATCTTGGTTCTTAATTCTGAGCTTTATTTAACTATTCCATATTTCTAAATATTATTTCTTAATGTCACATAATATGTTTTTGACTCCGATAAACCTGTTTCCATACTGTTCTAGAATATTCGAATGTTTAACATATAAATAAGTGAACGTCTAAATAATATTAGTTCTATCATAATATTGTCCGTTAGTATTATTTTATCTCCACGTAATTAACTCCATGGAATGAATGAGTCGATAGTGGTGTGGATCTGTTGCCTGGAGAAAGACTTCTCGACCTTGAGTATGCGGACGATATTGTCTTACTGTGCGATAATGCCCAAGGCATGCAATCCTCACTTAATCAGTTGGCAATCAGTGTCCGTAGGTATGGTATGTGCTTTGCACCTTCGAAGTGCAAAGTACTCCTACAAGACTGGCAGGATTCTAATCCTGTACTCACCCTGGATGGTGAGCAGATAGAAGTAGTTGAGAAGTTCGTGTATCTGAGTAGCTGCATAAGTGCTGGTGGGGGTGTGAGTGATGAGATCAATGCACGAATAGTGAAAGCCAGAGCGGCTTATGCCAATCTGGGCCATCTTTGGCGCCTTCGTGATGTTAGTCTGGCTGTAAAAGGCCGGATCTACAACGCGTCGATGAGAGCAGTTTTGCTCTATGCTTGTGAAACCTGGCCTCTCCGAGTTGAGGACGTTAGACGACTCTCTGTGTTCGATCATCGCTGTCTCCGAAGGATTTCTGACATTCAGTGGCAACACCATGTCAGTAATGCAGAGGTTCGGCATCGTGTGTTCGGGCACAGAGATGATAACTCAATTGGTGTTACCATCTTGAAACACCGACTTCGGTGGCTTGGACATGTTCCACGAATGCCGTCCCAGAGAATCCCACGTTGTGCATTATTTGCGGACTCTGGGACTGGTTGGAAAAAGCGGAGAGGTGGTCAGTGCATGACATGGTGTCGTGGTATGAAAGAAAGCTGCAAAGGACTGGCTTCTGTTGGTCCTTCACGACTCCCTGGTTGGGGTCTGAGAGATGGTGCTACACAGTGGCTAGAGACGTTATCAGATATGGCTCAGAATAGAAGCCAGTGGCTATCCTGCTGTAACCTTCTTTTACTTTCTTCATAGAAAGTGGTTGTGTCTCCTTTACCTGAAAGATTTCTTCTGATTGTACCTTTTCGTTCCGTCGTTACTACCACACTACCTTACTCCAATCTCTTCGTCATTGTTCTCTTTTTCTTTTGCGCTCCTTAGTTTTTTTTTCTTTTTCTACTTCTCTTCGAATTCTCATTGTTTTGTGTGGCGCATATATATTGGCGCTCTCTTGTACCAATATTCATGTGTTCAAATAAATAATTAAATAAATAATAATTAACTCCATATATTCCAGAAGTTTCCAATGTGAAGTATGCGCACTTGTTTCGTCTTCGTCTTTAATATTGGGATTATAAATTGTAAGCAGCTGAGGAGAATCCACGAAATGAATTCATGTTATTCTGCTGAGATATTTGTTCTTTCTTTATTCAAGTATATTAGATAATATTGAAATTCAAGACTTTGGAGATGTATGAATTAAGCCATGTCAACTAGTGTTTCCAACCATTGATCACAATTAACTTTCATATCCAAACTAATTGGTCTGTGATTCACCTCATGACTTAGTAGTCCTTCAGTCAATGATCTCATTGATTGATGCCTTGTCATAGTTTTCCTCCTATCTATAACTTCTCCATTGTTTATAAACCTCTACCACTACGAGATTTGAGTTGTCAACTACATCTCTATGTTAATATGGTATGACAATTCGTGCTGATGTACGCACGTACGAAGTTTTACGTTGTTACTAACTGACTGACTGACTGATATATATATGTTTATTGAACTTCATGATTTTTGTTATAAAGAGTAGTTGATTAATAATACTATACTTTGTCGAATAGATGTATTTTGATAGTCTATTATAATATCTATATAATATTTTACAAATATATTTTCTTTTATTTATTTTATATATAAATGATAGATATATTTACAATCATTTGGTCATATCTATTATGCAATCCATGGATTACATTCTGTTTTATAAATGCTGCTTTTTATTCATTTTGGACAACATTATTATTTGGTTCACAATTTTATCAAATGGTATGGTTAAATGCAACAACAAATGAACGTATCAATATGGATAGATATGTTGAATTTAATACCAATAATAACAATCATATTAATAATAATAATAATGATAATAATAATATGTCTTTATCTAATGAAAAGTTTCATAATTCTACAAATTACAATCGTCCATATGATCATGGTATATGGCGTAATCTACTTGATTTAATTGGTTTACCTGGTTTTATTATCAATTCAAATAAATCTGTTGATTGGCGGCAAATCTATCAAATTGAACAATTAAATAATCAATATCCAATATATACTACTACTACTACTACTACTCATAATAATAATAATAATAGTGATGTAGATAAGAAACTATTAGATTGGTCAATATAGTTTTCATTAAAATTTACTATAACTATTGTATATAGTATACAAAAAAAGGGTTTTATTTTTTCTGCTTCTTTTATCATTTACTGTTCAATTACAATTTGTTTACATTTTGAACATAATGTGATGAATTAGTAATTATTGTCAACATCATTAATCAATATTGAATGTTACCGTGAATTACTTAATGACTTATGCCTGTTACTTTCAATAGAGTATAGGTCACTACCGACTAGCATTCTCTAATCCATTTTATTCTAGGATTTCTTTTCTAATTCTATTCAATTATTATTCATTCTTCTCATGTTTTTTTTCTATTTCTTGGCGTAATGTGTTCTCTGGTCTTCCTCTTCTCCTTTATTTAGCCTTGAGGAATCCAAGTGATGAAGGATTACCTTGTGATGTAGTTCGGTGCTAATGCTAATGATACCGTTGAATTTTGTTGAAAAAAAAACAATTTTTTTCTCCTTTAGAATATATATATATATGGTACATGTAATTTGCTTTTATTTTACAGTTTATTGGTTTTAACTTTGTTTTTTGTTATTGTTGTTACTGCTGCTGCTGCTGCTTCTGCGTGAATTCTCATGAATTGGTTGTATTTATTCATTAAATAGATCAGTATCAGAATTATTCATTGCTGTAAAAGTGATAGTTTTTTTTTCAGCATAATTATACATTGAATCATTTTATTGCATTCAATATAATCTTAGTTTATTGTTGTTGGACTTATGATGGTAATACGGTGGTGTGTATGCTAATTATATCGACATGAGTAGGATATAACGATAGTCAGGACTTACAAGATCGAGAAAGACAGAACGTGAACAGAAAGCAATTAGTATAAAAATGCAGGAATAATAAAATCTGATAAGACAGACTGATATTTACAAAAGGGAACATTGATGATATATTGCATATGAAGTATTTATTGTATGATTCTTAGATTTGACTAAGAATGTTCTAGTAATTTTGTGTTCAAATACATTCGATTGTCCTTCACTTGTGTTCACGTTCACTACACTACCACTGAATTATATCTTCTCTTCACATTTTTCACTATTCTTTAACTGTTATATTGAGCATTTTGTGTGTGTATATACATCTACCTACTTACCTATCTATCTATCTATCTACCTATTCATCGTCTAATTGTACTTCCAATTTTGTTGATCTTATACTTCATCAATTAATCAAGTTATATTTTTATTTATTTAGATAGATTCTCTTTTTTTCCCTGTTTATTCAAAGCATTTTGTTTGTTTGTTTTGTTTTCCGATATTTATGTATCATTTCATATGTGTCTCAAACCGATTGTAGTGCTTTATTCTGTTTCATTGATTTTGTTTTGACCTCTGGTTACCAGGTATACATATACCTGTGTTACTGTTTATAATTTCTGTATGAAGAACTAACTACAATAATAAACTATATTTTCGGTTGATTGTAGTTTTTTTTATTGAGATAAAAATAAATAAACCGTTTCATGTTGTGATTCATTTCTTAAATGTAAGTATGCATAGAGAGAGAGATCTCATGTATGTAATACACTTTATGTTTGAATGTTAGTTTTTTTTAATTTTTCTTTCTTAGAATAACATTTACTTTGAGATGGTGGAGAAGATTTGTAGCTCAGGTGGATAATTTTGGTGGAGTTTTGTTCTCTGAGCTGGATGGTTTGGTCGTGGAGCTTTCATCGTTCTTCTGAACGACATCGTCAGCACAAACTTCAGATAGAAGTGAAGTGTTCGAATTTCTCCATATGTGTTTCACAGCTTGTTCTGTGCACCTCGATGTTGATTGGCTCTTGTTGACCTTAAATTTATCATTGTTTACTTCTTTGTTTTGATTGTGTTTCCTATTGGTTTCATTTTTGTTCCTATATTTGTGCATGATTTTCCTGATTGATTGATAAATTGGATTGATTTCAATATGTTTGTTGATTGCTGATTGACCTGAGTGCCAGGCTTCTAAAAATTCTCTGGTGTTTTTGGAGTTTCCTCTGTCTAAGATTTCTACATTTTCCCAATCGAATGAGTATCCGTAGTTATCCACGTGTATTGACATAAGTGAAGAGATATCATGGCGTTTGACTGCTAATTGATGTTCATGTAGGCGTAGGTGGAGGAGGCGTCCGCTTTGTCCGATGTGGTGTTTGTCGCAGTTGGTACAATTTATTTTGTAGATGATGTTTGATTTGTTTTCCTTTGTTATTTCATCCTTTGGTTTGCATAGGATTGATTGTAGTGATTTTGTTGGTTTGTGTGTCACACCTATCCCGAAGGTTTTCAGCAAACCAAACCATCCAGCTCAGAGAACAAAACTCCACCAAGATTTACTTTATTTAGTAATATTACTCACTCTGTTATCTCATTTTGACCAATTTTTTGTTTTAGTATTATTAAACTTCATAAACTCAGGCAAGTACAGAATTAGAATGAAATGCGCGTCCTGGATTCCATTGCTAGCCATTATCTATATATTGGCTTATAATGCTTGTAAATTAAGGCAATATGCAAAAGATGCACATATGCCAATAAAAGACTAATCGGTGAGACTATAATTAATGGATGACCTTTGAGTGACGCTGAAGTGACCCTGAGAGTGAACAACTAATTAAGACGAAATAAAGGTTATAAAGCAGTTAGAATTCTCATTTACAATTGATGGTTAGGATTAAAAATTAGATTTAGGGTTTATATCACGAACTGATATCAGCTATAATGCCAAAACACTGTTTAGCCAAATGTATGGATGAATTCCGCGCTCAAATTGGTAACTCGTTATCTTACATCTGATTGGTTCGTCCATAAATTACAGTCTCGCCGTTTTTAGTTGTAATAATTAAGTGTTGAATAAATCTATGGAAATTTTTAATAATAGCTTTGTACGTGTGTAATATCATTCAGTTTACAAAGATTAAGCTATAATTCTTTCTTATTGACTATTGATTTTCCCAGTATCTTAGAATTGTTAAGAATTGTTATGTGATAAATACTGAAGAATGATATTTACCAATATTTTCTGAGATTGTGGAATCCATTGTCATCTGACAGAAATAGCGAATTGGCTATTAGTTGTAATTTGTCCAGAGCTTATAGTTTTCAGTAGTTTTGTCAAGCTTCGTTGATCATAGTTGTATGTCCACTTTTTAAACTACTGTGTTATATACGGGACTCTAAAATGATCATTCTTTTTATTTAACTTCTCACTGATCGATTTTATGTGGAGAATCGAGCTACAAAGTTCTTTTAAATAAACATACTTACGCCTATTACCCCTCATGGAGGAGAATAGGCCACTCACCACCATTCTCCATCCAACTCTGGCCTGGGCATTTCTTTCCAGTTGCTATTCATCTATTTGATGTCTCCTTCCAATTCCTTACACAGTGTGTTCTTTGGCCTTGCTATTTTTCTTTTTTTTCAGGATTCCAAGTTAGTGCTTGCCTCGTAATACAGTTTGACGATTTCCTCAATGTATGTTCTATCCGCTTCCAACGTCTTTTCCTAATTTCCTCCTCAGCTTTAACCTGGTTTGTTCTCTCCCATATTAGGCTGTTGTTGATGGTATCCAGCCAAGGGATATTGAGTATCTTGCGTAGACAACTTTTAATAAATACTCGTACATTTTTAATGATGGTCGTGGTGGTTCTCCAAGTGTCCGCCGTATACAGTAGGACCTTTTTGACGTTCGTGCTGAAGATTCTCACTTTCATGTTGGCTTGCAGACCGTTGTTTTGAGTTCCATATGTTCTTCAGTTGTATGAATGCTGTCGTTACTTTGTCAATCCTCGCCTTTACGTCGGCATCTGATCCTCCTTGTTCATCGATGTTGCTTCCCAGGTATGTGAAGGATTATACATCTTCCAGAGTTTCGCCATCAAGTTTGATTGGATTGCTGTTCCCCGTGTTGTATGTAAGGACCTTGGTTTTCCACTTGTGTATGTCGAGCCCTACTTATGCAGAGGTTGCTGCTGCACTAGTTGTTTTCATCTGCAATTGTTGGTGTGTATGCGATGGAAGAGCTAGGTTATCTGTGAAGTTCAAGTAATCTAGCCACATGCAAACTGTTCATTGTATTTCGTGCTTCCCTTGAGATATGAAGCTCTTCGTAATACATTCAACCACCAGAAGAAAGGGAAAGGGGGAGGGTAAGCACTTGATCCTTACGGAACCCACCTTGTTGGACGTCTACTGCATCTTTCATCCGGTTCAGCAAAACTCTGTTAAAGACTTTCCCTGGTATTGTCAGTAGTGTGATGCCTCTGTATTTTTCACATTTGCCCAGATCTTCTTTCTTTGGAATCTTGATAAGGTGTCCTTCTTTCCAGTCCATTGGCACTCGTTCCTCCACCCAAATATTCTTGAATAGAAGGTGAAGTATGTTTGTAGTTACTTCGATTTCTGACTTCAGCGCTTCAGTTGGTATATTGTCGGGTCCTGTTGCTTTCCCGCTCTTGATTTGTCTGATCGCTATTCTGATTTCTTCGGTCGTTGGTGGAGTGGCATCGATAGGAAGGTCTATGTGTACTGCTTCGGTGTCCGGTGGATTCATTGGAGCTGGTCTATTCAACGGTTCCACGAGGTATTCTACCCATCTACTCCTTTGTTCTTGAATCTCAGTGATTGGCTTGCATCGTTTTCCTTAACCAGTCTCTCTGGTTCACTATATTTCCCTACCAGTTTCTTCGTCATATCATATAATTCTTTTATATTTCCTCTTGCAGATTTTTCCGCTGTCTTCGCTAGCTCTTCCACGTATTTATTCTTGTCGATTCTAATGCTCTTTTTTACTTGTTTGCTTCTGTGTATTCAGGCTGTGCATTGACCTTTTCTGCTCATATTCGGCTTTTGTTAATTACTCTTTTTGCTCTTCCTTTCTTGAGTCTTTTCTAGGGTTTCGATAGAGATCAGTTCATTGTTATAATGCTTCTTGATGCCCAGCACTTCCTGACACGTTCAAGTTAATGCATCTTTGATTCCTTTCCAGTTGCCTTCCATCGTAGTTTCTTCTTCGAGTATATCTTGTAAGGTTTGGAACGTGTTGTTGAGAGTTATCTTGAATTGGTTGAGTTTGTCAGTATGTGAAAGGAAGGTTGTATTGAACCTTTATAATACTGTTTCCTCAGTTGTCTACCACTTCTTTAGCTTCAATTTCGTCTTGAAAACCACCAGGTGGTGATCTGAAGGTATGTCAACTTCTCTCCGGGTTCTTACGTCTTCCATTGTCCTTCTGGACTTTTTATATATAGAAATATGATCGGTCTGTTTTTTAGTAGTGTGATCCGGTGAAACCCATATAGTTTTGTGTATGCATTTGTGTTGGATATATTATGCCTCCTATAACTAATTTGTTGAATGCACATAAGTTTGCAAATCTATCGCTATTCTCGTATTTTTCTCCTAGTCCATGTCATCCCATGATATCTTCATATCCGTTGTTGTCCATTCGGAATTTGACGTTTATTTCTCCCTTTGGGATGGTCAGGTCTTTTGCTCAACACTTCGCTATAATTGATTTGAACCTCTCTCATAACTGCTCATTATTGTCATCGTTGCTATCATCGTTGGGTGCATAAAATTGTACAACTTCCATCGTGATTCCATTCTTTGTTTTGAGGGATGCTTTGATGATCCTGGATCCATGAGATTCCGATCCTATAAGTGAATTTCGTACTTCTTTAGACAGAATCAGAGCAACTTCCTGAATGTGCGGAGCATTTTCTTCGTGTACGAAGTACAGTAGCATCTCCTGTACCTAACCTTTACTGTCCAGCGTGAATGCGATGAGTTTCGCTGATTCCGAGCACCGTCAAGTTGTATCTGCTCATTTACGTTGGTATTTGACTGGTCCTCCTGGTCTCCCACATTATCCAGACGTTCCATGTACCTATAAAGGTTGTCGCCCTGGTTGTTATAAGGGGCACGGGCCTCGTGACTTCCGAAGTATCTCGGCTTTCATCATGAGGCGCCATAATTCTTCCTTCAACTTGTAATGCGAAGTTTCAATGATTTTAATTGTGTATTCTGGTTTGGATTTTTTTAGCAAGATTGTTTTGTACGGGATGAGGTTGCTGACCCCACGCCTTATGCTCCCCCTTTGTGTGGGCTTGTTATCATCAGTAGCCCTAGAAGAGCTACAGGCTGAGGTTTTAAATAAAGATACTAATAAAAAACTCAATGCTTTTTTAGAAACATTCAATAACACTGTAAAAATGTCCGAAATTTGTTTCGTTTGTAACCTCAAGCTGCCTAATAGGTTAATTTTTAGAACAACAATTAAAGACATTATTTCATCAAATAATTTGAATCCATTGGAATGCTTTTACTGTCAACACCGGAAATCCGTAGGACTACTTCGTGTATGCGTTATCAGAGTGCTTTTTCTAACCTCTCCCATTGCCAGCAGGTAACTGCTTCAGGTCCTGGTTATCCAGGAAAAACACCTTACTGTTATTACGGTTGCAGTACGACTTCAGCTTCGCACATTTGATTAGCTAATTTTGATTTCACTGCTCTCCAACCTATAT